GGTCCTGGGGACGTGGCAGAGGCCGGCAGGTGAGCCCTGGGGAGGGCTGGGGACCGCTCATGAGAGGAGGTCATCAAAGATCCGGAGACGCCCCTAACTAGGGCGTCTTTGAGGGCGGGGAATCTGTTTTCGCTGTGTCCTGGATTCCCAGTGCCTGGCATGAGCAGGTCCATAAATGGTGTTGGAACGAATTAGGCCTCTTCACTGACCGAAAGCAAACTTTTCTCCAACCTCGTATCCGCCCTTCTCTTTTCGAAAAGCCCGTAAATTGACTGAAAATGATATCTCCCACCCAGACGAAGGGCGATAGGGAAGCAAATAGTTTCCAAAACTAACACGGAGTAGAGATGTAGGGAGGCACTGGGCTGGCATCAGAAGACCTGGTTCCGGCCGCGCCTCTGCCGCTATCAGTGTGTGTGACCTTGGCCGAGGCATTTCACCTCCCAGAGTCTCAGTGTTTTCACTAGTAAAAAAGCCAGTTCTACATCATGTCTAATACTCCATCACGACTCTATGGGCTTGACGTCAAAAGGACCCCAGTGGGGACTCACACTGTGGTAGACTGTGCAGATCGTGTGGAGACCACGCCCCAAACATGGGTTTCGAGTTTTAGGAGATAATACATGTGCCTTTCCTAGCACAACGCGGCGCATAAATCTCCTTTTGCCCCCTCTATTTCTCAATGGGAAGAGACACTTAGGTACTAGCCCTATTGCCTCTAATTCTGTCGTGTCTTACCTTCCCAAGGAAATTCTAAGTTTTGGGACTGCCTTGTCTATCATGCAGTCCCTTCATAGTGGCTAGCATGCAGCAGACAATTTATTGAATTACTTAATGCCTTTTTTCCCTTTACAAGACTAATTTTGAGAGTGAAAAAATATGATACATGTAAATGCACGTTTTTTAACTTAAATGGCCATAAACATGTAAAGTATCGTGTTTATTATTTTCAAGCAAGGTTTAAAACTTCTCATTCAAAGCAGAATTTTTCATTCTTGGGAGACAGTGTATGAAAAGGCCATGTGTGGAAAACAGAACAAAATCATCATACTGCGAATATAGCATCTGGATCCCAGAGTGCACAGTTGTCAACTTTAAAGAAAAATATTCTTAGGGATTTTTAAGCAGTACATTGGAACAGTCAATGGTGGAATTTCACCAGGATCTCTAGGGAGAAATAATTTGACGCCTGAAACTTACAAAAACCAAATAAGCATCATGAAATCAAATTTAATTAAGTTTAGAGTTCTTATACAATACATTTTTAAAAGTCTTCATGTCTCTATTAAAGGTTGTAATTAAATAAACAATAGAAAATGAATTATAATAGTGGATGTGTATTTCTGAGGAGCTTAAATTGTTTGGTAAGCTTTATTAATGATTATAAACTTGTTTACAAGTATCATTTCACTCATCTCTGAAATATAGCCATCTCTAGGGTAGAAGTTGGCAGCAGTAGTTCACAGCAACGCAATAACAATACTCCAGCACAATTCAGAGAATACTCTAAAGGCAAGAGCTGAACAATTGGAACTACTAACCTCTCTTTCTGTAGCACCTAAATTTCTTTTGAGTTTTCCCAACACTTGGATAGAGCCAAAATTGTTTAGTTTTACTGGTGAAATCAGAAGTTATGACTTAATGTTTTTTAAGCCAGAATAATAAAATAACATATTTTTGCCCCTGGGGAAAGCAAATAAACAAACAAACCAAATAAGCTAAATAGAATCTGGGATTGCATTATAAAAAGGAAATGACTTCCTATAGAATGTTTTCCTTTTTTGATTATATTAAGAGAATAAAAACATGACAGTTGAGTCAAAGATATGGTTGGCTTATAGTGAAAAATAATGGCAATTACCTAAGATCTAGGATCAAAGTGCTTCTCCCAAAATGTTTATTGCTTTACAGTTTTAAAAATTTTTACTAATTCTAAGATATACATGGACAACAATTTAAAAAGGAAAGGATTGCATGTGTAAGGACAACATACCAGAATTGAAGACAGTCACTTTTTAAAAAATTGTCCTATGACTAATGATATATCCGGAAATGTTTGGTACAGTTCCAAAATCAGAGTCTTGGGAAAATAATGTATTTTAGAAGGAAAATGCTGAACATTCTAATTTTAAACTGTTACAGTGCCTACAGCAATGAGTAAGAATGCTTTGACCAGAAAGTTAAAATAGTCAATATTTATTCCCCAGGAGTAGAGGATTTCAGAGATGAAAATATTTACTACATGTTGCTCCTTTCAGTCCCATAAGAAGACTTATTCTAAACATTGGGGGAGATTTTCCCTTTGGACAAAGGCATGTCTAAAATCACGTCTTGCAAATCTGTTGCAGAACAATTATAATGCTCTCATGTTTAAATAGCCCACTGGGTCAAGCATGTTAATGCTCCCATATATATTATGTAATGGATATTAATTATTTTCCAGATGGAGATTCAGAAACATAAGGACAACAAGAAACTTTCCCAAGGTATCATTACAGTCCTCAGACTTCAGACACACACACACGCACACACCTCAAATATATACACAACTGAAATGTATATAAAATTCATATACATGTACATATGACAAAGCCCCAGAGTTATATTGGAGGGAGATAGATAGATAGATAGATAGATAGATAGATAGATAGATAGAGATAGATCAATCTCTGCGTAACCGTTTGAAAAATGAAAGAGTATTTGGCAAATTGACTTGAAATTATTACGGCAATGAATTAGCATTTGGGGATTTTTGGTAATTTTTTTTTTTTCATTGCTGAACTGATCAGTTTCTCTTCTGGGACTGAGCAGTGTGTAGATGCAGTTTGTGATGCCCAAGAAGTAATGTGGTATGTATTGTAAAGAGCTCTAGTCTGAAGCCTGGGTCTTAATCCCAGGTCTGCCTATTACTAGATACATTTCTTTAGGGAAGTCATTTTTCTTCTTTGGGCCATCTTGTAAAATGAGACTTTTATAGCAGCCACTAAAGGATCCTCTAACATTTAAAGATTCTACATAGCATAGCCACAACGCAAATAAGCAAATTGTATTACAATTATCTAACTGAATTTGGTCAATATACTAAAGCAGATTTCCTTTTTATGTAACATATTAATAAAGAA